AATGGTTGCGTTGCCGGAGATATCGACGGATATAACTATACGTTTCACTCGTCATCCAAGACGAAGGCGTCGTTGAATGCGAGCGAACCCTTACTGGAAGTGGAAGAGACGACGGCTGGCCATTGAGGGGCCAACCGTTGGGCAGAGGAACCCATTTTATTCGCACTTTTATCTCTCTATTTGTGTCGTTTGTATTTCGGATTCAAAAAATAAAAATTTATACTTTTACTGCATTTTGTTGTCTTCATTACTACATGTTTTATACTAATCTCTGGATATCAGTCACAAAATTCGCTATTTGTGTATCGTTTTCTTAAACTGATTGACCATTTGCTGTATTATTGTCTACATAAATGACACTTTAGTGTAGACATGCAGTCAAATAATATGGTCATTGCATATCAAGGATCAGGTTTTTGTGTCCAAACAATTTATCTTAACATTAATTCAAAATTGATTTCAATAAAAAATAGTTTATTTAAATTATGAATCAATACATGACATATCCATCGAACGAATCAATTCCACAGAAGAATGGATTTGTTTAGACTCGTTGTCATCAACAGTGATAGACATGTATTGCGAAAGAATTGCTTTCCATTCAAATCAATGCATTCACGTCTAATCGGCTAAATGTTGCTCAAGAAACTCGTCGATAGTGTCTGTGTCCCACTTCTGGATGTTTAACTCATCCACTTCTTCGCCCGCGGCGTCCAACAACTTGATCACTGGATCCGCGCCTCTCATGTATTTCACGGACAAATTCGGGAATTTCTTGCTTTTATCGCCTCTTATGAACGCTTTGTGGACACAAAACAAACAGACAATTAATTCAATGTTCACTCACTCTTAAGACAATTATCTATAATACCATTAATCTGTGGAAAGTGTCCTACTTTTCATCCGCAGACCTCGAGTCGGGCCGAAGCGTACTTCTAATGACAGACAAAAGACAATTGGATTAAAGTCTATGAGTATAAGCGACAAAACAAATTGTCTTATCATTACTTTGACGCCCTCTTCGGTCGCGTCCTTTGAACAGCATTTAAGACACGAGTCTTTCAGTGAAAACAAATCAAATTTTGTCAGTTCTTCGCACGAAAGACACGACAGATCCGACTTTCGGTATCCGATGGCCAGACACTCGTCCACCGATAGCTCAATGGCCGACACGATTCGGGTCTGTATTTAGACAACAATTTAAATGGCATTAAATGTTTGGTCACTCGTTATAGTGAACACTGATAGCCGGCCCACACCTGAGCCACCATTAGTGTACACTTTGCTAATCAATACTTACAATCAATACAATTAATGAACTCAAATACAGTTCCGTGTATTTCATGATTCAAATAGTATTTACATTAAATATAATTTAATTAAATATAACTTAAATGCAATCAAAAAGTGGTGTTTTTTGGTTCAAAACCAAAACACTTGTGAAAACTAAACGTTTCACTGATTATGAGTTCATAACAAACGTATAGTTTGTTTGCAATAAATGGTCCCCTTTTGTGGTTTATATGGTTTAATACTGACTCGTGAGCACACATTCACTACATTTACAGTACAAACCCCACAATCCTTTTATATGTATACAGTGTTTACGAATACTTAATCGTAAGACTGATGTGTACTTTCAATTGTTTGATAATTCTTTGATTGCATAATACTTTAACACAATACAAAATCATCAAATGGATATAGGTGCTTTTTCGTAATTTAAACTTTATACACGCAAGGTCTCTAGAGTATACCACAAATCTACTTGGTTAATTGTAGCGTTTTATGTACCAAAATGACAAAAGTAGAATAATTTGAATATAATTTGAATATAATTTGAACATGATACTTGTATGAGAATTATCTCAAAATGACCATTCTAAAGTTTAGAATCTGAATAATGAATGAGCATCAAATGAACACAATGTACAATACAGTGCACTTTTTAATTACCAACAATTGCAGTTAGTACAATTAATTCATTTTCAACAATGAATATACCAAATTGTTCATAGCCATATGTACAAAATGTACTTGATTACATTAAAAAAACCCGCCTTCATATGGAAACACAAGGAATTGTATGGCAATGAATATATTTGTTGTTTAAAAATGAGTATAAAGCTAAAGATGACAATCTTTCTATTCATAATTTAATTGTTAACAATTGTTTGTTATGTTAAAGTTACTGTTAATTTGTTATACATGACAAATTCTCAATTATTTGATGCAATAATATTGCAAATCATGAATATTAACTATTTTGTTGTGTTTGGACTCAATTTTGTGTTAATTATTACATTTAAATACCTTTTAATCACTATTTAGTGAATGAAAGGCTCAAAGAATTATTTCAAAAATCTCAACCAATTTCCCGATAAATCATAATTAGACACAAAATACATGTAATTTAATGGTCACGTAATTTGTGAATACGTTTGACAGACAGACAGACAAAGCGGCGATTCATTTGAAACCAAAACAACAAAAATAAAAACACAAACAAATCATTGATTTTTCGTTTGTTTTGTAAATTAGTTTAGAAATTAATTTTAATTACTTTTTATGGCATTTAATTGGCGTTAAAAACAATGTGTAATAAAAGTGAAGTGTTTATCGAAATAATGCAATAAAAATGTAAACAAAATACTGACAAAAACAATAATATGTGACAAAACTTTGCGACAAAATAATTGTCATTTAATTACGAAATGATTTTTCGCACAAATTATGGCTATTTCTGGCGAAAAGCCATTCAATGATTAAGGCATTGAAATAATGGCAAAATTAAAGCCAATTATGTTTTGTTTAAATCGGTTTCAAATGAAAATGCATTACAATTGGTGTCAAACCCAGCGTTCAGTCCTTATAATCGCTTTAATTGTTATAATTATTATATTTTACATTCGGTTTGAGTTTGAGATCAATAAAATCCAAACACATAACCGACAGTTGGATCTACTCTTAACTCAGACCAGATTCCTTCGCACCGGTGATGACGACAGCGACAGTAATCTTCTCATTGAATCCGATTCGCAGACACTTCAGGAGAAGACTCGGCGTCCGATTGGCGGCAAAGACACTGTCATTATCTATAATCGGGTGCCGAAGACCGGGAGCACCAGCTTTATGGGCATCGCCTATGACTTGTGCGCCACCAATGGCTTCAATGTATTGCATTTGAATACATCGAAGAATAGTCACGTGATGTCACTGTCGGATCAGTTGCGGTTCGCGGCGAATGTGAGCCAATGGCGGTCAAGACATCCGGCGCTAATTCACGGCCACATCGCGTACATAGACTTCGATCGGTTGGGCGTATCGGACGTGAAACCCATTTACATAAACCTAATCCGTCGACCACTGGAACGACTCGTCTCTTATTACTACTTCTTGAGAAACGGCGATAACTTTCGGCCATATGTTGTGCGCCGACGACAGGGCGACAAAAAGACGTTCGACGAGTGCGTCCGACGGGACGAACACGACTGCCATCCGGACATTATGTGGCTTCAGATACCCTTCTTCTGCGGCCACGTCTTCGAGTGTTGGCTTCCGGGCAATGAGTGGGCCCTAAGCGAAGCCAAACGCAATTTGGTGGACAAATACCTGTTGGTCGGACTCACGGAACAGATGTCCGACTTTATAGCCGTATTAGAGGCGGCGTTACCGCAGTTTTTCGCCGGCGCTGTCCAACAGTACCGAAGCGGACAAAAAGCTCATTTACGCAAAACCTATAATAAAGTGAAACCGATGGCCGAAACGGTGGCCAAAATACAAGAGTCGAAAGTGTGGCGAATGGAGAACGAGTTCTACGAGTTTGCGTCCAAACAATTCCAGTTCATTCTTCAGCGGACTCTCAATACAGCGAACGGCCAGTCAGTGGACAGAGGGAGGCAGTGGTTCTTCGAGAAGGTTCGCCCAAAACGATAGCCAATGTTGAGGACACGAGCGCACACACGAGACCACCCTTTTATGTGTCGGTTCCCGGCGACCACTAATAGTATTATCTATTTATTCCGTTTTTATTATACGAATATTCTGTGAAACAAATGGCAATCAATTCCTGCAAATATGAAATGCAATTCAATTCAAAATACATTCCGTAATAACATATAACTTATCGATAAATCTTTAATATAATTGTTTTAATTAAGTTTTTATAAATTATAATTAAATTATAATTTATAAATAATATATCAATAATTATATATTATTCCCACACTTTTCCCATAATAATGTTTACTATTCCAGAAAACGGATGTTAATATTCACTTTTACCACTAAATGTAAGATTATTTGTAAGATTTTAATTATTGTTTAAATTGTAATTTAAAACTATTTTCTAATTTCTTATTATTTTGCAATAAAAGAAATAAAACTATTTAATTGTAAACAAAAAATGTATTGTAAATACAATTTCCCACTAAATGTATAAATTATTTACACTTTTATTAAAATAAAAAACCAATTATAAATTAATTAATCATTTGGTGAACCAATGAAAGCAACTTTTGGTGACAAACTGTACATCAAATGCAATACAAATAGTGAGTCAATAGATGTCAGCAACGGATCCATACATTGAATGCATTGACAAACAGTTGTTGTAAATCATTTGGTGAACCAATGAAAGCAACTTTTGGTGACAAACTGTACATCAAATGCAATACAAATAGTGAGTCAATAGATGTCAGCAACGGATCCATACATTGAATGCATTGACAAACAGTTGTTGTCATTGAATAGTAAACAAGAATTGACTCCAGATTTAGACGATTATCAGTTGAGTCCATGCGTTAGGATTGTGGGAAACGCTGGAACCGTTCACTCCATCCATATCTAAGACACCATTTGGATCACAGATCGCTCATCTGAACGATGGCTTCGCCGAAGAGTAGAGCGCGGGTCGAGTCAGACATCGAGAGGTCGCGAGAAGAGGGCAATTGGCGGCGATGTCTTGAGTTGGCTCAACACATGTCCCATGAATTGCCACAAATGGTCCACTTTTTGAGCGGTGAGGCGAAGATTGAGCTCTATTTGGAGGACTCGGGCAAAGGTATAGTCAGAGGCGGCGATCGGACTCTATTGGACGACGCGCTGACACACCTGAAGACATGTCTGGACTCGTCGGCGGCCACTCCTCTAGCAATGGACGCCAATCTTCTGTTAGCGAAGTGTCACTACATTAGAGGCGACTATGAGTTGTCCCTAAAGCACATCGAAAAGTCCGGAATCGACTCAATCAATACTGTTGACAAAGTGTTGCCGCTTCGGGTCATTAAACTGGTCGCTGAGTCCTATGCCGTGAAAGGCATGTCATTAGAGCACAGAAACGACGAAAAAGATATGGACACTAGGATTGCATGTCTGGTGCGGGCGTCCGAAATGGGTGTCCGGTATCTGCAGAATGTGGAGAAACAGTTGGGTCCGTATATTGTGGTCCCGTTGGGCACTATTCTGGAGACGGCTGTCCAGAGGGCGCCTATACTTCACATCAAAAACAAGAGTAATGTGAGGGAAGCGCTCAACCAATACCATGCCACAAATGGTCCACTTTTTGAGCGGTGAGGCGAAGATTGAGCTCTATTTGGAGGACTCGGGCAAAGGTATAGTCAGAGGCGGCGATCGGACTCTATTGGACGACGCGCTGACACACCTGAAGACGTGTCTGGACTCGTCGGCGGCCACTCCTCTGGCAATGGACGCCAATCTTCTGTTAGCGAAGTGTCACTACATTAGAGGCGACTATGAGTTGTCCCTAAAGCACATCGAAAAGTCCGGAATCGACTCAATCAATACTGTGGACAAAGTGTTGCCGCTTCGGGTCATTAAACTGGTCGCTGAGTCCTATGCCGTGAAAGGCATGTCATTAGAGCACAGAAACGACGACAAAGATATGGACACAAGGATTGCATGTCTGGTGCGGGCGTCGGAAATGGGTGTCCGGTATCTGCAGAACGTGGAGAAACAGTTGGGTCCGTATATTGTGGTCCCGTTGGGCACTATTCTGGAGACGGCTGTCCAGAGGGCGCCTATACTTCACATCAAAAACAAGAGTAATGTGAGGGAAGCGCTCAACCAATACCGGTCGACACTGAACGCGTGCGAAACGCCCTCAACACTGACCACACGGCAAGTGTTGGCCAAACAGTTGGCCGAACTTCTGATTCGGGGCTGCAGTCAAAGCACATGGACTAAGTGTGAGCTGAATATGAGCGGCTCGAGTGGCAATCGGCCGCTCAAACCCATCCGATATATCGGTCAGTCGTTGTTTGTGCCGAAAGTACGCGAAGAGGAGATCCTCTTATTGTTATTAATGAGCGAATCGTTGGCCTCGAGGAATGTGGTGCTCGACAGGAGTCCCGAATTTAACGATACCCGCCAGCAGTCGCTGAATGACGTGATGGCTATCTATGATCTACTGGTGATAACGTTGACGCCAAAGAAGTGCTATTATATGGATGCCTTCGAACGCGCCATGAAATTCAGTTTCGAAGTCAAACACATATGGTTTCAGTTCGCGCTATCACTGGTCGAGTCCAAGAAGTGTCCGCAAAGGGCGCTACTCTTACTCAAAGAGGTATCGCGTATTGATCCGACGGATCCGCTCCCAGATCTCATAGCAGCCAAACTATGCGCTCAAGAACTTCACAAATACAAAGAAGCTCTCGATTTGGCCAAAGAATCGTTCAGAAGGTGTAAAGACGAGGCACTCATGAATCGGATTCATTTGATGATTGGTGTAAACAATGCCCTCATTTATGAGACAGAGACCGAAACGTGCAAAAAGTTTTACACCGAAAACCTGAACGAATCGATAAAATACCTGCGAATGGCCGCCACTTCTCGTTTCAGCGATCATTTGCCGTATTTTCATTTGGCTCTTCATATGGCAAACCAGAGAGCGCTCAACGACGCCATCAAATACGTTAAGATCGCTCTTCTACTCAATGGCCAACACTTGCCGTCAATACAACTCCTAATCCTCTGTCTATCGGCACTCAAACAATACTCTGAAGCGCTGTCCATATGCGAGATCGCTCTCGAGGAATATCCCACACATTTGATTGTACTCTATATTAAGGTATTTAACAAATGAATTGTTTTTTTTATTGATTAACTCTTATAACGCGTTCTCATAATAAAAGGCACACTTAGAAGAAGTGGTTCGAGAGAGCGGTAGAGAACAGGCGTTACTGACGGCCAAAGAGATGCTTAACTGTTGGAAGTATGCGAACAGCGAAGAACACAAACGCATGAGTTATGGCTTTAATTACTACCCGAACGCCAATTACGACAGTATATCCATGAAAATGGAGCAAACGCTGAGTGAAGTGGCGTCACTCGACTCCACTCCCATCCCGACGGACGCCATGAGCGCCACCGTCTCGATGAGCGCACACCAACATAACAGCGCCAATCGCGCGGCCAATAAGCCCTTGTGGTCGTTGCAAATGCATATCTGGATTATGATCGTCGAGCTGTTCCTCAAGTTGGGACACGTGTCCGAAGCCGAGTCCTGTGTCAATGAGGGAGCGCTCGGAATATTTCATTCGCTTTCCCATCAGTTAATGTATTTAAAGGGCATTATATGCAAAGCCAGGGGTAGTCTGATTGAGGCCAAGACGTGCCTTCAAAACGCTATTTCAATAAACCCAAGACATGCCAAAGCGTTGCAACAGTTGGGACACACATACTATCTGTTGGGCAATCAGTTGGCGGCCGATAAATATCTGAAAGACTCGCTCAACATTGACGCCACTGTTCACCAGACGTGGTCTTACATGGGATTAGTCTTACAGGCGGACGACGACCACGAGAGGGCCGCTGATTGTCACTTAACGGCGCTTAAATTGGAGGCCACGGCTCCTGTGCTGCCGTTTAATATCATTCCGCGCGCAGTCTTTGATTGAAACCCAAAAGTATTTTTCTTTTAGTCGTTTTGTTATATTTAAGTTAATTTTTGGCGATTAAACTGTTTTTCAATTAATTTAATTCAATTGTGAATATTTTTCCCGTTAATTATTATATTATTTTTAGTAAATTAATAATTGAACCGTTTCATCTTAACTAGTGCTAAGTAGTTTTATTATTGAGTCACAATATTCAATGCTTATTAACAATGAATATATTGAGTATTGGTTTTAATGAGTACTAATACATTATTATTAATAAAAATTATAAACATTATTAAAATACATAAACTACTTAGCACTAGTTAAGATGAAACGGTTCAATTGTTAAGATTGTTCATTGGTGTCAATTAATTTTTTTAATTGTTTAGATATTATTATTATATTATTTTTAAAATTAAAACTCGAAAACGATTTTTGATCTCAAAGTTATGAAAGCATTTGGTTTTAAAACTAATTTTATATTCAAAATATCAATTAATTAATGCTAAAAAACTTGACATTGTTTTACTCAAACAAATAGCAAATATTTGCACATTTGAAGGCAAAACAGGAATTTAAACAAAAAAATTTCCAACAATTAAATGCCCCCAAAAAAGACACGTTATATTACGTGTGAATGACGTGTGAAGTCCTCCCTATGAGGTGATCCTCTCTGTGATGATGGGGTGATTCCCCACACATATCACACACACAACTCTTTTCATCCAAAAAAAACTCATCCAAAAAATCAATTGGTTTTTAATTGCAATTAAAAAACACTGTTTTTTCTCCCAAACAATGAATAAATGGTTGAGAAAGTGAGTGATAAATACTATGCACTGCAGAGACATTGCATTGAATGTGTGAAAATCCCAATGCATTACGAGGTGAGAGAAAACACTCCGTAATGAATGGCAAATGCAATGCAACTCCAATGCAATCATTTATCACTTAATGTTTCATCAAATTTAACACCACTTTTTGTTTCCCCGAAAAAACATATTTAACTTTATATATAATACTAGTGGAAGAAAACAACACTTGTGTTAAAAACGAAAACAATTTACACGTGAAATAGCATTGAAAAAATAATGTTTGCGATAAACGCGAAAGCGATAACAAATTTTTGTTTTTTCAGCGATTAAAACGACTAATGAATTGAAATGTTATAAAACTTTTTTTAACATAACTTTTATCGATAAAAATCCGATTCTATGACAAACTATACACTGGTTTTGGTCGTAATTTATGCCACTTATGTTGGATTTTATATTGCTAAAAGTTTTAATTTGTCAGCAAATTGTCCAAGGTTATTCTGGTTATATCTTGTTATAAACCAGATTCTTAATAACCAGACAATCTATACTAAACGAGACTAAATTAAGTCGATTCGCATAAGTGCTAGACATTAAAGATTGGGACACAAATTGAGACAAAAATAGAGACAATTTTTATTGCATACGAAATGAACATTGAATTAAAATGCATTCAACAGAAAAAAAAGTTTTCATAAAATAAAACATTTGAATAAATAAATAAATTTTTTGTGGATTTATATTGTAATTAATGGCAAACCAATAGACTTCACATCTTATTCAGTAGTTTGAGAGCTGTCTTTAGAGGATGTGGTGTCGGCCGCCGGTTGACCACTGTTTGCGTCATCTTTGGGCGTCTCTTCAGTTTGTGGTTCTTTTGACGCTTCTTTGGACGTGTCTTTGGACTTGTCTTTAGACTCGTCTTTGGACTCGTCTTTGGGCTCCTCTTTGGTGGTCGTGGGAACGGGTCCTGACTTTCGGCCTCTTCTTAGCTTTTTATACAAATCGTCGTTTTGCGGTGTCTTTTGATTTCGTTGCTCTATTGGATACGATTGAGCGAAAACCAAGTCATGGATCTTCTCCTCGAAGATATCATTGGTCGCATCGCCCGGTGCCTGAAGATACTTAGTCCACGGTTTCTTGCTTTGCCGGGTTTGCACAGACTTGAGGCCTTCGGGTAGTGACCAGTACTCGGAGTATTCAAACTGAGCGCCGGTCGGCAAACACAACACCAGAAGTCGTTTCCCTTTTAGCGGTGGGTTTTTGCTGACATCTTCGGTGACGAACAGCTCGTACGGCAGCAGTGATGCGCTGGTCTTCAGGAATATGATCACCGAACGGGTCTTCGCTTCCTTTTCTTCGCGAATAAAGTGATTCTTTTTGTATTTATCGGCTCCGAGAAGAAGCGGTGGTTTTGTTTCGTCTTTGAATTGTTCGTACAATTCGGTTGCCGTCAAGAGTTTGTTCTCGTTTTGGTCGTACAGACGAAACACTAGATCCGCGTCGCTGTAGACGAAACCGCCCTCTTGTATGAGTGTATGGTTTTGGTCGGGAGTCAACACTTTCTTCGGATCAGTGGATCCCATGTCGTACACAATGAGCGACGTGTTGGCCGTCACGTAAAGCCCGATATATCTGGCGGTGGACTTCTGTTTGAGGTCTTTGTTGTAGTCGTAACCCAACGGGAGCTCATAAAAGGCGTTAGAATTGCTTCTATTGGATCCGACGTAACGACTCCACTGTCTGTTGTGATTCTTATCTCCGAGTGAATTGATTTTTAGGGCACAAATCACTTTACCGTTTCGGCCGTCGATTCGCGGTATAAAACTGACTAAAGGAGAGACCAATTGAGTGAATGGCGAGTCCTTTGGCTGCGGGACTACAAAGGCGAAAGTGTTGGGTCCGTCGGTCACACGATATTTGCCAAACACTAAATAATTGCCAAAAGAGTCCACTTTCGGCAACAGTTCCTTCACCTTCTCAGTGGTCAGATCTGACAGATTGAGAAGTCCGCCGATTTTGGCGTAAAATTTGAAGGCATCCTTTTGACACACATATGTCTTCTTCTCAGTCAAAAGTATAGCCACTTCTGTCTCTCCCTTCGCATTCTTGAACTCTTTCCGAACCGCATATCTCACCACAAATCGGTTCAATGTCTTGTCGGGTAAAACCATTGGATTGGGTGATCACAAGACAACTATTATCTCAAGAGTTTTGATGTAATAATAGATCTTTTGGTTAATTTACGCAAAGCTTATAAAACCGTTTGAATTCAAAGTCAACAGAATTTAAACGTTTAAAAATAAATGCCATTTACTCAATCGTGACATTATTTAAGTAATTGATTGATGCCTTTAATAGATTGGTAGCCATCAGGATATACATGAGATATACGCGCATAAAGTGGTGNAAGACATTGAACCGATTTGTGGTGAGATATGCGGTTCGGAAAGAGTTCAAGAATGCGAAGAGAGAGAGAGAGAGAGAGAGATTATTGGAAGTTTCGAAGACATTGTTGTGAACGGTAAAGAATATTGAATGCTTTATTGGGCGCACAAAAAGCTATTGTTGGAAATTCACGTTATGTTCTCAATTCAGACACAGAATACACATTTGAATTCAAACTGTGATTGAATTCATTGATGAAATACTATTTCAATATAAATGCAATATAAGGACAAAATGAATTTCTTTGCGGCCTTTTTATTATTGTTTTCATTAGTGACACAATTGGCGGCCGAAGATGACTATTGTAAGGGAAAAGTGGACAAGTTTACGGTGAAGGGAGCGTTCAAAATACGCGATTGGCTCATCGTCTTCGGCGATCTGGTCCGGAAGGGAGCGCCCAAAGCCACCCATGAAGTGGTTCGCATCAACTTCAACGAAAAGGGCGATCCGACCGAAGATATAAAGTCCACCGAATTTTACTACTTTGAGGCAAAATTATGGCCCGAAATGCGGGCCGAAACGGTCGACCCCTCCACCGACGCTTTCAACATGACATACGGCTTCTCGACCATCGGTTTAAACATATTTTACCGACAGATCGACGGTTACGTCGCTTATATCGCAAACAATGTAAGTCCTGGTCTTCATTATAACAGTTTACTCACAATTCAGTCCATATCTACAGAAGGGTATAACCAAAGCGTATGACATCAACACTCGGAGGCCATTGAGTGCCGACGGGAAGCTAACCCATCCCTCGTTTGCCATCGACCAGAACCGTCTCGTATACGATGCGAACGCAGGCGAAGACCACTCGAGGAAATTGACGCTAAAAGTGCTTATATTGCACTTTCCGAAGATTGTCACTGTATTGGATGTAATGATTTTCAAACGACCACTAGATAACGGCAATCAGCAATACCACGCACTGGTCTACACCGAGGGTAAGCCTTAATACTCACTCATACACTGTATTAATTATGGAAATAATTACATGATTTAATAATTAACTATTTTTTGGTGAAAATATTTTGCAGAACAAAAGGACGGTAAATACCATTATATGAGACATTTGATGAAATCTGAATCCAAATACTACGAGGACTACGCGTACCGTAAGTTTGAGCGCCTTTACTGGTCTTTCGACGACGCGAACGACTATTGCGATAAAATGGACGCAAAGATCACTGCATTGGCGTATTTGAGGGAAGAGGAGATTAAGGGCAAAATGTATAATCCGGTGGACTATTATCCGGACTCTTTCGCCATCTATTTCGTTGAATTCTACGGCGAAAAGCATCGACTAATGAAACTTCAATTCTTGCATAGAATTGAATACTTTAAGATCACTACAGAAGTGGAGGCCATCGATAACGTGGAGCTTCTCAATTGTGTGGCACATCCCGACACATTGCCCGCCGCCAAAATACGCTGCGATGACTACCCTCTGGAACCGGTGGACGACATCGGCAGTTATGACTCGCCCGATGACAACTTAGTGATGGTCGAGGCCTCACGTGACGGCACCGAACCGAAGGGCACTACGATATGGGTTTGTATTTATAGTTTACTCTATTTTAATTCAAATTAACAAAAGCATACAATTTATAAGTAGTTTTATTAGATTTAATTAATTTCTATTTTTACTAACTATTTGTCTTATTTGTAGCAATGGTTGGGAATGATTATGTTGTTAATGGCAATCATTGTAGTGATTGTATTGATTGTCTATATGTTGGTCTCCACTCAAAACACAAAACCAAATTCCGATAAACAAAAATGAAAACTATTAAAACTATTTGATTATATTTTTACCACTATTTATATTTAAAATATAAGAGATCTTTCATTTATAAATTTATATCGATTTGTACTTTAAATTGTTATCATTTATCCGATATTTATAACACTTGTATTCAAACACTACTCACAAAATCTATTTGTAATGTATTTTTATTTTTCAAGTTTCAAAATAAATTAAATTCTATTAAATTAAACACTAATTTGCGGTTTATGTGATAGTCTATCACTCATACGATATTAACCAAGTATTTTGTCAGTACAGTAACGGCCGGACAGACACCACAACTCATCGATAACTATGATATCTGTCAACAAGTCTTTAAAAGACATTCATTTCTTTAAACATTAATTAAATTTATAATCAATTCAATTGTAGTTATCATTACTGTTGGCTTCAAAGTTACAAAATAACAAAATACTTGTCAAAAGTTTGTCTAAACTTTTGATGCAATCACTGCATTGCAAACGATGGACACAATAGTCACCACGTTTTCTATGTGAGGCCCCGAAGAGTATTGTTTGAAATGCAAAGTCATTGCAATTCACAAACCATTCACTCATTCATTGAAAAGTCATTACAATTATTGTTGTCTTAATTGTGGATCAAATCGACGACTCGTTTGTCATTTAATTTAATTGGAAACCACTGTCTGTTTGGTGTGACGTCTTGACCATTGCATCCGGAAGAATGTCTTCGGCGGGAGTGTGTCCTGAGCTACCGGTCGGTGGCTTTTGTTTCGATAACTACCAGAGGTTTGTGTTTATCATTGAGTTTACCATTGAATATGTGATACACATGTCATATAACCGCCGATTATCTCATCTAATGTTTAGGAATGAGATGTTGGCGTCGAAAGGCTTTCCGGTACCGAAAGTGACCAAAACTGGTACAACAATTGCCGGCATTATCTTCAAGGATGGCGTTATTCTCGGCGCCGACACCAGAGCCACGTCCGGCCCGATAGTGGCCGACAAGAATTGCGAGAAAATCCATTACTTGGCGCCCAATATGTACTGTTGCGGCGCCGGGACGGCCGCCGACACGGAACAGGTGACCAAAATGATATCATCGCAGCTGGAGTTGCATCGACTCAACACCGGCAAAGTGGTGCCCGTCTGTGCGGCCAATCGGCTCCTCAAACAATACCTGTTCAGGTCTGTCATCACAACTGCCGCACAATTAATCATATTTTACTCTTAATTAATAGTGAAAATGCATTTCATGTCTAGTTTTTTGAGATAACAGCCAATGTTTTGTTGGTTTTGCTCTTTATTTTCTGTACTAATAGAGAGTAACGTTTTAATTAACGTATTATTTATGTAATAATTGTTGGCTTTTTGAGCGATTGTGTTGGTGTCTAATAAGAGTCCCCCTCTGCCCCACCACCCCATCCATCTCTAGAGCCACACAACTAAATGCAAAGC